CTTAAAGGCTAACACGGTTGAAGCAGTCCTGTATATAAACTTCTGAGATAATTTTATCTTCCTCAATTTTATCTTTATTGGTTTTAGTGTATATTGACACAATAAAGCATTACTAGTTTACATTTATTACATATATATATATATATATATATATATATATATATATATATATATATATATATATATATATATATATATATATATATATGCATATATATTTATATTTATATTTATATTCAACAGGTCCCAAATATTGTTTAAAAAATGTTTATATTTAAAAGGTCAACTTATTACTCAAATAAAGGGAAATTTTATATAAATCTGTAAAAAAAACAATCTTTAAACAAAGTTACCAAGAAACTTATAAAAGTTCATGTTTTTTAATTTTGATATAAAAACTGTAGTTTTTCTGCAGTAGAATCTAAAAATAGAACACAAAAGATAACCACATTAAAAACACTGAGTAGTGATTTTCTAAAGGGGTTTTAAAGCACCATAATATCTATATATACATATAGATATATATAAAGAGAAATGATATCTTTATATTATTGAGTGATTTCTTTTTTATCTTCTTGTTGGAAATCAATAATGATTAAGCTCTCCATACAGGGGGCAAAAATAAAACTTTAGTCACCCATTTATTGAAACCTTTAAACTAAACTAGCAAAATGGAAAATGTTAAATGTTCCTATTGCCATAAGATAATGTCTAAAAGTTGAACTTAAATAACAAAAATGTTAAAGAATTTTGCAAGTGTTCTGATATAGTGCTATATGAAAATGTCTAGATAAATAAATCATGTAATTAAAAAAAAGGCAGATAAAAAATAAATTACAAACAAATAAAGTGAAAGTGATCTTGCAAACTCTGTAAATAACAATAATTCAAAATTTTTAAACTTTCCTTGAAATTAAGTTCAGTTTAGGGCATTTTTTTTATAATGGCCTACTAGCAATATATAGTTTTTTGACAAATATAACAAACAAACAATCTGTTAATACATTTAATTATACTTTTAATGGTCATAAACAAAAAATATACTAGAATAAAAGAAAACTATTTAAAAATTTATACATAAAAAAAAAAACTAATATATTGTTAAAAAAAAGCAATACAACACTAAAAAATCTAAAAAAAAGCCAAAAAAAAACCCCAAAAAACAAGTTTTTTAGACCCAAAAAAATGCCAAAGGAAAAGACGATTTTTTGCAACTCTATCAATACCATAATTTCTTAATTTAAGTAAAAGTCTTTTATGGGCAACAGTGTAAAATGCTTTAGAAAAGTCAAGGTAAATAATATCAGCTGAGTTATTGTTCTCCATACAAGTTGATAGAAAGTTGATAGTCTCTAACAAGTTTGTTATACATGATTTTCTAGGCAAGAAGAAGTTGTTGTATATTAATCAGATTATTCGTTATTAAGTGCTCTAAAATTTCTTTGCATATTATTGACTCAAAAAGTCTACAGATATTAGATGTCAGCAAAATAGGTCTATAGTTTTATGATTGGATAGGCTAGTGATGACAAGTATTCTTTAAGAATTCTGGGGTGGACCTTGTCACTGCCAACAGATTTTTTTATATCAATGTTGTTCAAAAGTACTAATATTTCATTATATTTAAATAGTATTTTACCTTCATCCATTGGTTTTGAGATGCAAATAATTTTTAAATCAAATTTAGAAATTAGATTTGAATCCTCTTTGACAAATACTGAATGAAATTGAGTATTTAAGATATTAGTAATATAAAGAATAAACCATTTGTATCTTGAAGTGGTTGGATGCGGTTATTTATATTTTGCTCGTTGTTAATGTATTAATATAGGAGCTTCGGGCATAGTTTTACTCTAAAAACTAGGTTTTTCTCAAAGTCATATCTTGCTTTTTTCACCTCACCTTTGAGATTTTTAGTGCTTTAAACTTATTAATTTTGTCTTCTTGTTTTCATTCGCTGGCACAATTAAAGTAAAAATGGTTTTTCTTTTTTCAAGCTAAATTGACAATATGTTTATTAGACCATGGATTATCACAAGGACGTGTAACAAAATACAGAACAAATTTTTCAATTGCAATATTATTGTAATATAAAAATACATCATACATTTGATCGACTGTTTTGTCATAAAATAACAAAACAGTCCATTTCATGTTGTCAAAAAGGGTTTTCATATCTTTGTAATTTCCACGATTAAAAGCTAGTTTTTGTATAGTTTGGGAACATGAACTACAATGATCCATTGAAAGGACTAATATCCAAGTCAGTATTAAATAAACTTTCTCCAAGCAACGGATTATATCTAAGATTGCAGACCCGACTATGTTGTTCAGTAAGAATCAAATCAAGTGAAAGTGCCATCTTGCACTTAAAAAGTTAGGGCATCGCTACGTTGAGTTAAAAAAATAATCTTCAATTGTGTTTACAAGTACGTGGTCCGGCAATCCCTCGTTATTAAACACTTCAAGTTAAAGTACAAGTACAAGTTAAAGTCTCCCATTATAAAAACATAATGGTATTTTTGATTATCTATTTTATTTTTTGCAGCATATATAGAATCATTAATCTTTATATCATTATTGCTGTTCGGGAGTTGGTTAATGCGTCCAATTAATAACTTTTCTTTTTCAATTAGTAAATTTAAATAAAACACATATTTGTTTGACTTTATCATTATACAAACTGATAACTGTGTTAAAAATGTAGATAGCAACTCCACCGGCTCTTCTACCATCACCTCTGTCCTCTCTAATGAATAGTTATTCAAATAAGAAAGAAAATTAGAGTCTTCTTTAAACCATGTTTCAGTGACTACAATGATGTGAGGTTTATATTTATCAATTGCTAATCTAAATTCTTCTAATTTATTTACAAGTGATGTTGCATTAGTATACCAGCAATACAAATTCTCATGTCACAGGTTTAATTTTAAATTTGACGATTTCGCTGCTACAAATATGTTATCAAAAGGGCGAGTCTGGAGTTTAAAGCAGCATTTAATCTATTGCGCACGGTTCTAAGCTTGTAATCTAATGATCCTTCCTCTTTGGTCAAGTCTGGATTAATAAAGACTTTATCATATGATATAGTTAACCTGAGTTGTTGAGATGTAACAAGTAGTGGGTTACAGTAAGATTAGTCTGAAAGCTCCCCAATAATTATATCAGGATTATCATTGTGTCTAGAGTGGAGTCTTCTAATCAATATTGGTTTAAGATCATATTTGCCAATGGCATTAAATATGTTTTCAATCTCAATTTTAACATTGGTGGCTTTTTCGGAACCACTTTTTTTTTTGGAGTTTGGAACGCCATAAATTACTACATTTTTTTCTCTCTTTTTGCGTTGTTGCTGCTCAATAGATACTGCGTTGGTAATTCCTAATTGTTCTTCAGGTTTTATCAAGTTTTTCCTTACAGCTAATACCCAGTTTTTGTGAGCGAGGCAGGTTTTTCTTTAATAATATTTTTCAACTGATTATGTAGGTCTTTATTTTCATTTTCTAGGAATGTTATCTTGTCTTCTAGCAGCTTTATGCTCATTCTGCAGCCATTTATCAAGATTTGCTAACGTAGATTTTTTATTAGAATGATGAGTTTTTGAATACAGATCCATTATTAATTAAATAAAAATTTATTACTTAATATTTTTTATTCATTTAATAAACAATGGATTTTTTAAAGCATTATTATTCCTTAATGCAGGATTTATAATTCATGCCATAAATGATTAACAAGACATGAGAAAATATGGTGCTTTAAAAAATTTTTTACCTCTAATATTTATTTTTATAATTATAGGATCTATAGCATTATTAGGATTACCATTTTTATCAGGATTTTATTCTAAAGACTTAATTGTTGAAGTAGCATTATTTTCAAATTTTTTTATCTTTTTGTGCTTGAATTAGTATTAGTCCTGTATTTATTACAGCCTTTTATTCTTTAAGATTAATTTATTATAGTTTTATTAATAATCCACAACAAGATAAAAATAATTTTACTAATATTCATGAAAGTGATTATAAAATTATAGCTTCATTAAGTTTATTAACATTATTTTCTATTTTTTCTGGGTGCATGCTCCAATTTATAATTATAAAAAATAGTTTTCCAAATAGGGTCTACAATATTAGTAAACTACTACCTTTTAAGTAATTTAAATAAAACTTGAAATATTATTTTTATTAATTATTATAATAATATTTCATTATTTTTTATTAATAATTGATATTTTGACATATTAATTAAATACATTTTTTCTACAAAAAATGAGTCCTTTAGGAAATAAAATTACTTATAAATTTATAAATAATCAAATTCTAGAAAACTTAGTGTTATTATAATTGGGCTGTATTATTTTAATAAGACTATTGGTATAATTCTGAGTAAATCAAAAAAATATTAAATTCTATTTGTTTTATATTTTAATTACATGTATTTTTTTTTTATTTTCTGTGTTTAGATTGATGTAAACTAATTCTTGGTAATTAAAGATTTACATTGCAAAGAAATACATTTCTAAGGATTAGCAGGAATGCCTAGAAGATATGCAGACTTTCAAGATTTTTTACGAATTAAGTTCACTAGTTTCAATTATTTTTATAATAGGAGTAATATGACATAAATTTATGTAAGTTTTAATGCTTTTTACTCAGAAGAAAAATTTATTTCTAGAAACAACTTTAACATTGAAAAAACAAATACTTTAGAATGATCATTAAACTGCCCTCCTAGTCATCACACTTTAAAAGAACTACATTTTATATATCAGTCAACACATTAAATACAAAGGAATCAAAGAAACTCTTCGTTTTTCCTTCTTTGGTTTTCTCTCAAAAAGGATCACCCCACCCCCAGTAAAGGAGCAGCACTGGCGCACCCCTTGCTGCAGCCATCTCAGGACGCCCTGGGCCCCCAAACCCTTCTCCCCCATATAGTTTCTAAACACAATTAAACAAATGATCAATTTTAAAAAAAAATCAAAAAAAAAAACAAACCACCACACTGTAAACTTGTATAGTTGTATAAAAAACCAACAGGACAATCACATGTATATGATCCAATTAAATTATTACATTTTAAATTTTCTCCTTTGCACAGAAAAGGGCACTCATCTATATCTATAAAACAAAAAGAACAATACGAAATATAAAGAACGCTATTAAAAGAATAAAAGTAAGTGTAACAAGATATAAATATTTTTAATGGCAATTTTTTATGTATTAATGAACAATAAAAATATTAAATTTTGTAATATATAATTATTATAATAAATCACATTTAAATTCATTAAAGAAAAAGCAATGATATTGATGATAGATTTTTTAATATGGTAAAAAGCTTCTAAAACGCACTTAAAATAGTTATTTACATTTTGAGCATCAATTGTTCCTTAAAAATTATAAAAAGTTTCTCATGTTATTTGAAAATTTATAAAACTGTCCAAAATAAGTGTAATTAAAATTGTTATCAAGAAAATGATTTTTGTAAAATTTTATGATTTCATCTTTACTATAAATGGCAAACAATTTCTGAATGAGTGCCAGAGCTTTCCCATTATGATTTCAAACAATTTAATATTCCACTTTTATAATATATATATATATATATATATATATATATATATATATATATATATATATATATATATATATATATATATATATATATATATATATATATATATATATATATATATATATATATATATATACATATATATATATATATATATATATATATATATATATATATATATATATATATATATATATATATATATATAAATAAATATATATATATATATATATATATATATATATATACATATATACATATATATATATATATATATATATATATATATATATATATATATATATATATATATATATATATATATATATATATATATATACATATATATATATATATATATATATATATATATATATACATATATATATACATATATATATATATATATATATATAAATATATATATATATACATATATATATATATATACATATATATATATATATATATATATATATATATATATATATATATATATATATATATATATATATATATATATATATATATATATATATATATATATATATATATATATATATATATATATAATGTTGTTTTGATTATTTGATAATAATCAACTCTTTTTTGATTTGAGAGTGATCAATATAAAGTGAAATAATCACAAAATAGATCAATAAATAAATAAATAAAAGGTTAGATGAGAAAAACCAACTTTTTTAAAATATAAAAAAGTTGTTTTTTCTCATCAAACCTTATATATATATATATATATATATATATATATATATATATATATATATATATATATATATATATATATATATATATATATATATATATATATATATATATATATATATATATATGTTTTTTTAAATATCAGCAGGATAAAAACATGACTTATTTTGTAAATCAATAAATATATAAAACATTTTACAAGATTTTTATACAAATTTTGACTTGAAAAAAACACAAACCATCACATTGTGAGCTATTATAATTGTAAGAAAATCCAACAGGACAAATACATGTATATGATCCAAATAAATTATTACAGGTAAGATTACCACCTTTGCACAAGTAAGTACATTCATTCACATCTAAAATATAATTTGTCAATTTCAAAAATTATTTACCTTATCGATGTATGTACTGAAGCAGGGGGCTTCAGTACATACATCGACTGACAAATAGCCTGACTCGCAGTGGAGTGCTGCTACATCGACTGAGGGTTTGGTATGGGTCAGCAACCTTTTCATTCATTTTTCTTTGTTTTCCCTCATCGTTTTCTAAAAACGCTCACTTAATTGTAATTAATTAATTTAGGCTAGCAAAAAAAATGAGCAATTGCGCATATAAAAATGCTATAGTAGATATATATATATATATTTATTTATTTAGATATATTACGGGTGTTCACATAAACACTGGAAAAAAATTTTTTTCTCTGATCTGAATGCACATTAGTTTATTTTGTGCCAATTGGCATTAAAATTTACTGTGAAAAAGATAATAAAAATAAATTAATGTTTAGAGGTTGCTCAATGGCCTTTTAGTTTTACAATAATAGCATTACGCCTTAAATAATTTTCTAATTTTATCCCATCTTCAATTTAGATAAAATATTAAACAAATTTGATGTACCATTGTCTTTTATGAGCTAACTTCTTTGGTCATGTGACAAGCAGTCATCTTGTCATCTGATGTTTTTGATTGAAAAATATTTTTATTAATTGTAATTTTTTGCTAAACAACTGAAATATTTAAAGATTTTGAGGTTCTTATTTATTTTAACCCTATAAAATAATAATTATAGCTGTTATGCCAATATCTTGTTTTTTAGTGCTAAATATTATTGGGTGACTTTACTTTAGTGTTTGTAGTTTTGTAATACTCATGATTTCATCACATTCATATTGAAATATTGATCACATATTTTAAATTATGTTTGCAAATTAATATTTAATCTCTCAAGTTGAGTTTAATTTGGTATCATTTAATTTTAGCTTGCTGCTGAAAATGAGTGAAAAGATAAGTTCTTCATATTTTCCTTTGACACGTAATCGAACTGTAATATGGTTAATTTGTCAACCTGAGAAGAATCTAACAAACAATGTCCTTACAACGATGGTTGATGTGTTAAGGACGTTTTTCCACTATCACAAAGCATTGAAACAAACAGTTCCAGCCAGTGCAAAAGCAACATCTAATGGTTTATTTCACATCTGGAAAAAGGCCAGAATTCCAATGACTTAGCAGCCTCATATTGTCTCAAAAATGAAAGCATGTGTTGATGAATATAATTTAATCAAAAAGAAGAAAGGAAGAGCTAGTAAGTCACATATTGCTAGAGAAACACAGGTTCCAAAAATGGTGCATGCATCTTGCTAGAGAAGTTGATGGAGAAAAATCTTCTCTACTTTGCTTGCCGTCACCATACGTATGAAGTAATTATTGGGGTAATATACTCAGTTTTGCTTGGACTTAGCAGTGGGCCCAACATAGCTTTATTTGAACGATTTTAGAAGTGTTGGCCAAGGCCAATTATGCTCCATTAGATGACGCCCATCTTGCTGAACCACAGCTTCAGCAATTTAGATCAGAGGCTGGCTCTTTTCTGCAGCCTTTCTTATCAGATGACTCTTCGCACTTACCAAGAGAAGACTACAAATAGATGGTCGAGCTGTGCCTTTTAATTTTGGGTTTTCTGTTATCAGACTATGCCTTCAAGAAGTATCGCTTTCACATGCCGGGAGCTTATCACATGGCTAGATGGATGGCTAAAGTCATCTATTGTATGAAGATATACCTCTTAGGAAATGAATTCAAGCTGACTATGAAAGAACAGAACAACTTGCGCAAATTTTGTATCGTTGCTGCTCATATTTATGTACCAGCATGGATTGCCTGTCTAATTGCAAGTGGTGCTCCAGCAAATGACCTGATGCTCTTCACAAGAATTAAACAATATTCTGAGATCAACAAGGTCATTTCAAATGCTGCTATAAAAAAGCTTCAAAATCACACTTGGTACCTTGGGTCAGAAATGATTCCACATTAATTTCTGACAGGGTTTGTGACAGAAAAAAAGTTGATTGTTGAAGCTATGATTCAAAGTGGAGCTGATTGGAGTGTCAGCGGTATAAAGTGTCCAGCAGCAGAATTAAACAAGTTAGAAAAGAAGCAACTTCATGAGCTTTTTACATCATCATCAACTGCTGCTTTGCAGTCACTTGGTCTTGATGTAACCTTTTTATCTGGAACTGAACCAAAGACCTGGGAGGAAATTGCTGAATTTTATTATACTAAAGCAATTGTTAAATCTGTGAAAGTTATCAATGACACTGCTGAGCATTTTGTTGCTCTTATGAGCTCATTTAATAAATCCATCACAAAAACTGATTCTTAAATGCAAAAACTAATACAAGTTGTTGAGGACAACTGTGGCATATGTCATCAAGGTGCTTTTGCGGCATTCCAGATTGCCGCAAAAGCACCTTGATGACATATGCCACTGTTGCTACAGACTAAACTTTTGATCTTGTAAATAGTACAACATATGAATGCTATTTGCATTATTTAAAGAATTTTTAATTGCATTATTTAAAGAATTGTTAATCATAGCTATAACTCAAGTTTTTTAAATATTTTTGTTGCAGCGCATGCTTTTAACACAGTAAATTTTTATTCTCCTTGAGCAACCTCTAAATATCATCCAATACACCTAAGATTTTGCACAGAAGTTTTTTCAATCAAAGAAACAATATTTAAAACTGTGCAACATTTTAATCTAAAAAAAATTTTTTTGGACACCCCTAATATACATATACATACATACATACATATATAGATATAAATAAATAGACATACATATATATCACTCACTTCATAAGCAAGCGGTTCCGAGTTCAATCCCCACCACATCGCTGGCAGTACCGCGCTGAACTTGTTTCTCTGCACATTAACCTTGTTTGTCAAAGTTCGTGTTATGGAGTTATAGTGTTGAAGGAGGGTTATAAACACAATTAAGCAGCCTCCTTATCTGTTGTGGCCTTCTTGACCTTGGAGAGGTTTATTAACATAAAAAAAATATATATGTGTGGGTATATATATATATAAATTGTTATATAGTACTCGAAAGAGAATTAAATGGTAAAAAACACTTTTTTAACATATAAGAGACATCAACTATTAAGCAACATTGTAATGTCATTTTAAAGTTAAAACAATTTTTAAAAATGCAAAAAAACCTTAGGTTTTATAATATTTTGAAAAACCACAATAATTATGACTAGAAAGTTTTTTTTATTAAATGGTGTTTTTGTTTTTGTATATTTTTTTGTTTTAAAATATTTTCAAATGTGAGGAGTGTTGCTACATCAACTGACATATATATAAATATAAATATATACAGATTATTTAGTTGTAATTGACATTTAGTTGTATCAATGCTACAATTTGTGCCATGAAACTGATACATAAATGAATTAAGTTTAAATAATCTATCAAATTAAGTACTAATAATCTATCAGACGTAATTTTTTCATGTAACTTTAGGTCTTCCAGAACAAGGTTTGCTTTCAATAGTTTTGAGCAGACAAAATCTTTTGATAATGTGACTTATTCCTGGTTAGGAAATATGGTAAAGTTCAGAAATCTGCCTGTAAGTCATTTTGTTTCCCACACCTTTTATAATTATTTACTTTATTTCTTTGAAACTTCCTTAGTATTTCCTATGCATCCGACCATTTTTAAAAATCCGGCCCAAATCCAGCTACAGCAAAATGTTAGCGAATCCGGCATAATTTTAACCGGATTTCTGAATTTTGGTCAGATATTTATTACATCTTTCTTGCCCGTGATAACATGTATACATAATACTTAATTTTTGAACTTCATGTTTGTTTTCGTATATAGTATATATATATATACAATATATATATATATATATATATATATACTATATATATATATATATATATATATATATTATATATATATACTATATATATACTATATATATATATATATATATATACTATATATATATATATATATATATACTATACATATATATATATATATATATATATATATATATATATATATATATATATATATATATATATATATATATATATATATATATATATATATATATATATATATATATATACACACACAAATAGATTAGGGCCCTGTGAAGTTTCAAAATTTCGAATTGAATCAAAAAAATGATTCAAGATGCAATTCGAAAATTTTCGAAAATCGAATCCTTACTTATTTTGTTTTTGTTGTGGGTAATTCAGATATTCTGCGCTTTGGCGCTATTGAAATAACGTTATTTATCCTTAAATACCTTTTTATTCAGTCATTAACATTAACATTAAGTTAACCAGGGCAAGAAGTATAAATAAAGAGATTAAACAATTTTTTTTTTTTAATTTTATTTTGAAATATGTATTATTAAATAAAAAATGCCTAAATTTAGACTTCAAAATGTCAATTCAAAACGTGAATCGAATTGCAAAACAAGACCTGCATTTATTCAAGATTTGATTCGAAACAAAAACTACCGATTCCCAGAGCCTTAATATATATGCACATATATATGCAAGGTGTAAAATCCTTTATTAAGGTTGTGGTATCATCTATTTAAAATTTAAATAAAAAAAACTTTTTTATACAAATTTAACTACCAAATTTTTTAAAAACCAAAAAGAAATGTTTTAAAATCTCAAAAAAATAACATCTAGAAAAACACGAACCATCACATTGTAGAGTAGTATAGTTAAACAAAAATCCATTGGGACACTCGCACAGGTATGATCCATTTAAATTATTGCAAATATTTTTATCATCTTTACACAGAAAAACACATTCATTCACGTCTACAAAATGAATAATTAGATATTGAATTATTCATGATAAGAATTGTTTAAGAAGGTATAAACATATAAACAAATGTGTATATATATATATATAAATATATATATATATATATATATATATATATATATATATATATATATATATATATATATATGTATACATATATGTGTATAGATAAATACATATTTTTATATATATTTCTATATGTATATATAGGTATACATATATACATATAAATATATATATAATATATATACATATATTGATTTTGTAAACATATATATATATATATATATATATATATATATATATATATATATATATATACACATATATGTATAAGTATTATAATGGAAGCGCTATTATGCGCATTTAAAATATATAAAATTGCTGTTTTAGGTTTAAAAAAAACACCCAAAAGGCGAAAAAGTGCGTCTGATCGCGCTCTAGTGTATATATATATATATATATATATATATATATATATATATATATATATATATATATATATATATATATATATATATATATATATGTATATATATATATATATATACATATATATATATATATATATATATATATATATATATATATATATATATATATATATATATATATATATATATATATATATATAAATATATATATATATATATATAAATATATCGCGCTCTAGTATATAAATCTGATCGCGCTCTAGTATATATATATATATATATATATATATATATATATATATATATATATATATATATATATATATATATATATATATATATGTATATATATATATATATATATACATATATATATATATATATATATATATATATATTATATATATATATATATATATATATATATACAAAACATGTAATAATTTAATGACAAATAAAAACCTTCACATTGCTGACTAGTATAATTGTAAATAAAACCAACAGGACAAACACAATTATACAACCCAACCAAATTATTACATTTAAGATCATCACCTTTACACAAGTAAGCACATTCATTGATATCTATTTAAAACATTGAAAAATATATAATTTTAAACCAATCATATAACTTAAAAAAAATATTTAAAATGAGAAAAAAAATAACTAATTCAATAAAAACTTTTAACATTGATTTTATTAGTAGGATTTTTATATTTTACTATTTGCTAAAAATGCAAATAAATCTAATTAAAAAATAGTCAAAACTATAACCAAATACAAAAACCAAGCACAAACCATCGCATTGAAGGCTAGTATAATTGAAAAAATAACCAACAGGACAAACACACTGAAAGCTTCCATTCAAGTTATTGCAAGTACGATTGTCACTTTTACACAAATGGGCACATTTTTTCACTTCTAAAAAATGTTTTGTAAAAGAATTTAACATAATAACTAATTCAGAGTCTATGACATCAAGATTTGATATAACAGATAATTTATCTTTAAAAGGCCAGGAATATATTCATAATTCATGAAATTGTCATTCTGTCCCTGTAAAAAGCATTTCAAAACCTATTACAAATATATATTGTATACTTCAGCAAAAAATCATTTTGTTTAAACGCAACAAAAATGTTTGTTTTCTTATAAATCAAATATTTTAGAGAAATGCAATATCATTTACAGAGTTTAGCAACTTAAACAAAAAAACTCATTAAGATTAAAAAATGCTATTTTTTTTTTCATTTAAACTTCCTCCTAAAAATACAATTTATAATTCAATATTTTCAAATTAGCTTTAAACATATAACATATAATCATCATATTTTTCTTCTAATTAATTTTTTTTATAACATGCACAATTTTTATTTCTAAAAATATCAATATTTTTCCACTGATGATTATATAGATTTTTCCATTATTTATAAGCAAATAATTTCCAAATTTTCCTTGTTTGCCATAATTGTTTGCAACATAATAATAAGAACCTAATTAAGAAAAAAAAAACACAAACCATCACATGGAAGATTTGTAAAGTTGTTTGAAAACCCAACTGGACAAACACACTGGTATGAACCATGCATATTTATACAAGTATAATTATTAGCTCTACACATATAGGAGCATTCATTTACATCTACAAAAATAAAATTTATCATTACTTTCTAAACACAATTAAACAAATGATCAATTTAAAAAAGAAAATCAAAACAACAAATCATATTAAAAAAAACACAAACCATCACACTGCAAACTCGTATAGTTGTATGAAAAACCAACAGGACAATCACATGTGTATGATCCAATTAAATTATTACATTTTAAAATTTCTCCTTTACACAGAAAAGTGCACTCATCCACATCTATATAACATAAAGAACACTACAAAATATAAAGAACACTATATAAAGAATAAAAATAAGTGAAACAAGATATAAATTTTTTTTGACCATTTTTTATGTATTTATGAACATAAAAAATAACAAATTTTGTAATATATAAGTATTATAATAAATGAAATTAAAACTTGTTGAAAAAAAGGCAATGATATTGATAATGATAGATTTTTTAACATTTTCACCACAAAATAGCTAATTAGTTGATTTTATAAACAAATACTTTCTGGAAATAATTTCAAAACTTTATATATAAGTGATTGAGATCATGGGATCTAAGAAATGTATTTCATCTCCAGTAAAAAAATTGATCTTGAGATCAGTTCAGAATGGAAACTCGTTTCGTAAAACAGCACAGTTTTATGGAGTTGGTAAGTCAGCTGTTGGACAAATTATGAAGAGATTTGAGCTTACTAGATCTACAAAGAATAAAAATCAATCAGGAAGGCCACGCAAAACAATGCGTTATCAGGATAAAAAGTTTGTAATACTAAGCAAAGATAATCCCCGTTTGACAGCTGTCGATTTAAATGTACAAATGAGACGTTTCTATGGAATGAATTGTAGTATTTCTACTATAAAACATTGTTTACGTCACGCTAATTTGTTCGGAAGACGCCCTGCTGAAAAACCATTAGTTTCCTTGAAAAACCGTAACGCCCGAATGGAATTTGCATCAAAACATCTAAAGTGGAGTCGTCGAAAATGGTCGAAAATTCTTTTTAGTGATGAAAGCAAATTTATGCTGTTTGGATCCAATGGAATCAGGTATGTTCTTTGTTGATTTGTATACCGATTTAAAAATATTATTTAGATAATAATTATTTGTTCAAAACCTATTTGTAAATTTGAAAACCTTTTAATTGGTATATAATATGTTGGCTTTAGTAAAGTATGTGCTGAAATATAATTAAAATTCTTTATTTTTTTGCCTGTCCGCAAACTTTTGGACGCTACTGTATATATATATATATATATATATATATATATATATATATATATATATATATATATATATATATATATATATATATATATATATATATATATATATATATATATATATATATATATATATATATATATATATATATATATATATATATATATATATATATATATATATATATATATATGTATATATATATATATATATATATAGTGTGGTGAAATTTGAATGCGGGAAACAATTTTAACTTGTTCTCTCATCTTCATGTTCAAATTCTCTTATAACTTTATGAAAAAAAAAACTAGAGAAACAGTTTTTAGAGTATTTTTAAGTCAGAGTATTTTTAAGTCAGAGTTTGTTTCTCCGTTTCTCTTGTTTCTCTTGTTTCTCCTAGCATTTGCCTAAAAAAGCTCACCCTGTAAGGCAGCAGGGCATGGGGTAGGTAGTACTGGGTTACATGATACTTGTAGCAAGGTATAGGTGATGATCCTGAAATTGGCCTAGGGTAATTAATAGAAGCTACTTCATGCAAACTCTCTTTTAAAACACAAGCCATGACATTTTGGAAAGGCTGTAGGAAAAACACTACATCTATCAAAATACTAGAAATTAAGGTGAGCGTAGGTTTAATAGTTAAGTAAGTATTTAACTACTGAGCTCACGCTGCATCAAAGGAAAAACAATCTATAACATTTTATCAATTTTTTAATTTTTTAGTGGGGAAAATTTGTGTTGGTTTAATTTGAAACTAATTGTTAACATTGACAATTTTAGAATGTTATATATATATATATATATATATATATATATATATATATATATATATATATATATATATATATATATATATATATATATATATATATATATATATATATATACATATATATATATATATATATATATTTATAACATTTTATTTATGAAGGTTATGTTTTTTTGTTATTCAATTGATGCACAAAATGTCTTTTTTAATGTTAAATTTCTTTTTAGTACGTATTTCACAAAATAATTTCAAGCTTTTCATTTTATAAACAATTATATTAAAAATAATACTTCTACACAAATTAAATCTACATCTTACTTAACCTACTCCTCCAGATACTCTCTATTTATTATGTTATTCAAGTCCAATCTGCAGTCAATACAAAGCGCAGATAGGAACCTCAGATCTTGCAGTAAATAGCTTGATACCAAACGAGCCTACGGTTTAATCTATTGTGTAGTAGTAACTTGCCTGCTTGCTATTTTTTCCTTGTTTGCCAAAACGAGCGGTTTAAAAAATGTACACAATTTTCTTCATGTGATCTTGGAGATATTGTAATATTACCTTACAAATAATCTTTGATTTTTGGTATTGTAATGTTACCTCACAAATAATTTTTGATTTTTGGTTATAATAACTAACCTAATAATATTTTATATATTTAAATTATTGTTAAAATAATGTATTAACTAAAATAATTTAAATAAAACTAAATTAATAAATGACAGCTCATTTTTCACCCTTTATGGCTAAAAGACTTTGTCCATCAACTATAACTTACAGACAATAAAATTATAAAAATGTAAAATAAAATCAAAATAAAAGTGGTGTAGTTTTTTACAATTAACTATCCAGACAAGAAAATTAGTTTTATTCAGTTTTCAAGGCTTTTTTTATTTTTACAAATTTAAAAAGAATTTCTCAAAATTTTCCCAACAAATATATTTTTATATTTATATTATAATATTTTTCATTTTTATAATTTTTATAAAAGGTTTTTTCAGGTGTTTTCCTAAAAAATCAGTTTTATTCTGACACCCTGTGACATTTAAAGTACTGAATGTAAATAAATAAAATTTTATATAAGATTTTAATTTAATTATTGATTATTTAAATGCTGAAAATATTGTATCAAAACATCATCATTAGGCTTTAATCTATGGTTTCTAATTTTTTCATAATGTTTAGCGGGCAAAAACTTTTTTTTTAAACTAAACTTTATATATAAAATTGGATTTTCAATAATGAATATATGATTAAATAAATATTGCTAACAATATTGCTGACTTTTTACAAAACATTTTATAGAGTAATGTTAAAAAAACTTGAGTATTTTTAAAAATATCAGCAAAATATATATATCTATTATTTTAAAATCTTCACTTCCAACAAGGCTACAAACTACCACAATTAGAAATGTAAGTTCCTGGATGAGAAAAGATGAAAATTATAAAGCAAGATAACAATTAAAAGATGAATTAAAAGATGATTTAAAAGATTGTAAATTATATGAATCAGGAAAACAAGAAGGGAGCTAATTCCAAAGAACAGATGTTTGAGAAAAAAAAAACTAAGCGAATGAGAATTTTTGAAGCACTTAGGAATAGTCACAGACTTTACTGTGACTGATTTACTGTTTACTGATTAACTGGTTGACGAGTAGCTTGTGAATGAATTTTAGTAGATGGTACAAAAAATGATAGCTATTTAGAGCAGCACCCATTAGAGTATTTACAGATAAGAAAAAAAAACAGAGAAAAAAAAAAAGCAACATTAACACAATGTGAAAATGGAAGGTCGACTGCAACCTTTTTAAAAAGAGAAAGAGCATCATTTGAAGATCTGTTCCAGCTATGGCAAGAGTATTCCATACAAAGAAAGATATGAGATTTATAGAGATAAAGAATAGAATTCATGATGTAGCAGAAGCCCCATGATGTAGCATAAGTAAAATCTTTTTCAAGCTCAAAATCCCCCTCCAAACAATCATAGAGTATTGGCTTCTTTTTAAGAAAGGAATAAATAGAATAATTGTCAGCAAAAATGCCACCTTAGATGTGAGAATTTTAGGAAAATTGTTAATGCAAATTTATAAAAGAATGGGTCGAAGGATAGAACTTTGAGGAACCCTTAAAGTTACAGGAAATGAAGAAGAGTAGTTACTGTCGAGGACAACTTTTATATAATGATTGGTAAGGAAGGACTCAATAGTCTTAAAGATGTTACACCTGATACACCATAATAGAGCTTATGGAGAATAGAGAAAAGTATAAAACTTCTGTAAGAATACTTCAGTAGAAGAATACTTCTGTAAGAGCTTCTGTAAGAATACTCACCGTAAGAATAGTGTTTCTGGTCAGGCTCAGGTTATTCTACTAATGTTAACATGTAATCCAGTACAACCTACTTCATGTCCTGCTGCCTTGTAGGATACACTTTTTTAGGCAAAGCTTAGAAGAAGCCAACTTTACCTTAAAACACCCCCTACCTAAGAGCTCTTGGTTGAGTAAAGACTAGAGATGGTGTCTTGATAAAAATACTCATCTTGGGTAGATTTTAAATGTATCCTGCTACTGTCTTGAAGAAGTCCTCCTAGGCAAAGATTTAAATGGTAAACAGTTTCTATCAGTTGACCAGCCGCACACCTCTTCTTCATCTATTAGGCTGGCGCAGATGTATTTAATACATTGTTTCCAGTGTAGAAAGTTGAAAGTAATACATTGTTTTCAGTGTAAGAAATTGAATGCTGGATCTCCTTGAAACAATGCATTAGTTTTGCTTGTGCCTCTATTTTTATGACTAGGAAACTCATTCTATTATCGCCTAATGAGGGTACAGCTCTAAAACTCAGTTTTATAGTTCTGAAGCCGGCTGGTAGGTTTCCCAATTATGTGGTAGCTCTCAGAGAGGTTAATTCCATCAACAGCTGTAAAATATCAGAGTATTAACAGTAGCATGTTCCACATGGATGGTGTCCCTATTTGTATTATTGGTGTGTCTTATCAACGCATTTGGAGCCCTTTGTTTCAACTTAGGGTTTATTAATAGTAATGAAGCGATTGCTTGGGCTATTAAACAGTGCACTGAGTTCTATCTATACTTTGAGTCAAGTTTCTTAACAAATTTAAAAATGACTAAAGTACCAAAAACTATAAAACGCAAAAAACCACAGTCATCACCAAGTTCTCTAAACCTACCATTCACTAATATTCGTGGTCTTCGAAGAAACTTTTCTTCCGTTGAATCTTATCTCTTTCAAAGTTCACCGGACCTATTTGCTCTTTGTGAGACTAATTTAAGTTCAGCTGTCTCATCTTGTGATATTTGTGTTAATGGCTATCTTCCTTTAATTTATAAAGACTTCAATGGTCGCAAGCTTTGCCTGGACATTTACATTCATAAGAATTCCCCCATTTGTCGGGAAACTAGCTTTGTTTCCACCAACTCTTTTTTTATGTGCCATCATTTAGCCCCACTTCACACTATTACCTTTATTTTTATTCGATATTGCTTTCCTTTATCTCAAGACTTTTCTTTATCTCAACTCTTTTCGATTTATTTCTGTTCAAATTGATCAAACCCTCTCTCTTTATCCATCATCCAATATTTTTGTTGTTGGTGACTTTAATGCTAATCACACTGAATGACTTGGCTCTAGTGTCAGTAAATCTGCAGGCATTACGGACCACAACTTAAGCCTTTTGCAATCTCTAATTCAAATTGTCTACTTTCCAACTCGTTTTCAAGGCAACACGAATCATTTACCATCTCTACTCCACTTATGTCTTGCTTCTGATCCTATTCAGTGCTCACTTTCTCCACATTCACCCTTAGATGCTTCTGATCACAGTTTGATCTCTCTAAAATTATTATCTAATTCTTCTTCATCATCAGAATCCCCCTATTATTGTACCTCTTACAACTACCTTAATGCTGACTGGGACTCTTTCCCTGATTTTCTTTGTGATAGTCCTAGGTAGAAATCTTTCGTTTCTCTACCAATAAATGTTCTTCTTACATAAATGTTTGGATTCAGGCTGACATGGAATCTTTGATTCCCTCTTGACAAGTCCAAGTCAAGCCTCACTCTTCTTCTTGGTTTACCTCACATTGTGCTGCTACAATTTCCAATTCAAACAATTACTTCCGTATATATCAGCAAAACTATTCTCCAGAAAAAAGATACCTGTTTACTCTTGCTAGAAATCATTGTAAAAAAGTTTTGTCTAATGCTAAAGTTGTCCTTGATGGAACGCACTCTTCTTCATATCCTGTAACTTCAGGGGTTCTTCATGGTTCTATCTTTGGCCCTATACTCTTTTTAATTTACATTAACAATACTCCAAATATTCTTACATTTAAGGTGGTATTATTCGCTGATGACACCACCATTTATTCTTGTCTTAATAAGAACAACACTCTCTGATTGCTTGGAGGCATATGAGCTAAAAAAGGATCTCACTTCTGCTATAGCAGACTCATAGCGGCTGGTGAACTTTAATTCAGATAAAACTCAATTTTTTTCTGCAAATCATCACCGCAATAATTCAGATCTTACTATATTTATGAACAGTATTGTAAATGTCAACAACTCTTCATCCTCTTGAATTAATTCTTACTTCCTCTCTCGGAAACCATATATCAAATTTAATTTGGATTTGATATTTGCAAAGTTTGCACCTGCTAAGGTTGCTTCTCTTTATCATGCTTAACATTTTCTTACTCCGGATCCTATTCTTTATCTTCAAAAATCTTAAATCCATTCTTGTAGGGAATACTATTCCCATATCTGGGGCTGATCTTCCAATGATACCCTTCTCTAATTTAGACAAGGGACAAAAATGCACTGTTAACATATTTTGACCAGTTCTTGCAGCCAACCTCCCATCATTATCACATTGTTATAATGTTGCTTCTCTTTCTCTTTTTTTACAAATACTATAACAGTCACTGCTCTAAAAAGCCAATGTCTCTTGAGCCATCTATTAAAGTTCATTCTTGTATTACTCATCATTCAATTAAGTCTCACTCTTTTTCTCTGACTGCTCCAAAAGCTGAAGTGCTCCAAAAACTCTTATTCGTCTAGATTTTTTCCTCAAAAATCAGTTCTTTGGAATTCGCTTCCTTCATCTTCTTTTCCTGATTCATATAACTTGCAATCTTTTAAGTCATCTGTCAATCGTTATCTTGCTCTAGAAAATTCAATTTTTCTCTTCCAATAACTTTCAACTCTGAAATGTTGTTGGAATCTTTAAAGATTTAAAAAAAAAAAAAAAAAGACCAGCATGTTGAACTTAATCAAAGGCTATAGAAATGTTGAGTGCAATTGCCTCTCCACATCTATCTAATGCACAATAAAACCTATCAGTCATAACCATTAACAAATCAGTAGTAAAATGAGATCAAAATCCATATTGATAATCAAAAATTAAGTTATTAGATTCAAGATGAGAGTATTTTTAATAAAAGACTCAAAAACCTTGCTTATGATAGGAAGAAGACTAATGGGACCATGGTTAGATGAGTCAGATCACTTTCTAGAATTTTTAAAAATATGGAATACAGATACTGTTTTCCAGAAGACTGGAAAATAAGACTCTGATAAGCACTTGTTTAATAGTTTTGTAAGTATAGACGATAGCACCAGAGAACACTTCTGCAAGACTATAACAAGTATGTTGTCCAGACCACAACCTGTAGAAGAGTCTAACCAGGAAATCACTTTAGATACAGAAGCTAGATTGATAAGAATGTCAACCAATCGATTAACCTGTTTGAAGCTATATTAGGTAGGATGTGATTAGTTGAATCAAGAAATAAGATTGAGGAAAAGTTTTTGGCAAATGATTCATATCATAAATATGGAAGTAATGGTTACCATTGGATATCCAGCAGCACAATCAAAGAAAAACCATGGAGAAGAGCAAGGCTTGACTTGTAACTGTTGAGAGGGAATAAAAGATTCCATGCCTGCCTAAACCCAAGAAGTTTTACAAGGAGCACATTTATCAGCAGGAAGAAGAAAATTTTTTACCTAAAGACCATCACAAAGAAAATCACAGAAAGAGTTCTAGTCAGATTTAAGTTAGTTGTAAGAGATACAATGATAGAGGGTGGGGGGGTTCTGATGATGAAGAAAAATGAGATAATAGTTTTAGAGAGATCACCTGCAGAAATTACCTTTAGAGTCACTGACACTAGAACCAAGCCATTCAGTCTGGTTTAAAGTCACATTATTGTATTAAAGTCATTAACAACAACTATTTTGGCAGAAGGATTAAGAGAAAGAGCGATTTGATCAGAAATAACATAGAAAAGAGTCATGAGATGAAGGAGAGCGATATAGAACAAAGAGAAAGTTTATAGAGTGAAGTGTAAATGCTCAGGCTAAAGATGTGACTATTGGAGTTTTTACAAATTAAAGGAAAATAACCATCAAACTAAGATCACAAAATGAAACAGAAAAAATCAAATTAGTCACACAAAGAGCAAGTAAGTCTGGTGAGCTTTGCAAAAGATAAGACTTAACAGAAGAAAAGTTACTTCAAAGACAACAAATATTAGTGAATGGTAGATTTAGAGAACTTAGTGATGACTATGATTATTTGTGTTTTACAGTTTATGGTACTTAAGTCATTTTTGAAATTGTTTAATGATCTTGACTCAAAGTACAGTTAGTACTCAGTACACTATCTAATGGTCCAAGAAATTGTCTTATTACCATTAATAAACTCTGAGCCATAACAAAGGGCTCCAAATGTGGCCACGACAATGCGCACCAAAAGTACAAAAAGGGATACCATCGATGCGCAACATGGCACTATTAGTACTCTAATATATATGCGCAACATGGCACTTTTAGTACTCTGAGACCTACGCTAGAGATGAGGAAACCTGACTACAAACTGGAAACAATATATTATAAACACATCTATGCCAGCCTAATAGATGAAAAAGGGGTGTGAAGCTAGTCAACAGAAAGAATCTGTTTACTATATATATTTAATATAACTTAATATGAATATTATTATAAATTAAAATAAAAAAATTATATTTATATTTATATATATATATATATATATATATATATATATATATATATATATATATAAATATATATATATATATATATATATATATAAAAATTTATATATTAATAATAAAATAAAAATAAATAAATAAATATATATATATATATATATATATAATATATATATTAAATATATTTAAATATGTATAATATATTAAATATGTTAAACATTTTACAAGATTTTTATACAAACATTCTTTGACTTAAAAAAAAAAAATACAAACCATCACATTGCAAACTATTATAATTGTAATGAAATCCAACAGGACAAATACAAATGTATGATCCATCTAAATTATTACAGGTAAGATTACCGCCTTTACACAAGTAAGTACATTCGTTCACATCTAAAAAATAATTTGTCAATATCAAATATTTGCAAAGTAAAAATACTATAATATTATTTCTCATTAACAATGCTTGTAAGCCAAAAATATAAAATCTTCACCTGAGTTTAATGTTGTTATCTCAGATTTACTTATTACAAAAAATTTTATTCTAAAACCTCTAAACCTTTAAGTTTTAAACTTTAAACAAAATTTAATAGCTGATGGTTGCTGGCATAATTGTTAATTTAGTAACAGCTTGGTTGTAATGTTTTTCTGGATAAACTTTTTTTATTACTAGTTCTTGTTTAAACTATTTGATTTGAAAAAAGTCTTTTTTTAGTACTGAATTTTTTAAAAGATTTTTATGTTCCGAATCTAAAGATGTTGTATAATAAGCTAATAAAAATTTATAAAAATCAAGTGTTTTACCAACATTTCTTGTAGTACGTAAGTTATTATAAGTTATAAAACATCAAAAACAGCAGTGTACTAACAAATTTTTTTTTATGTGATATTTTGTCTAATTTTATAGACCGTCATCAGACGTAAAATACCAAATTAAAAACCGTTACAAAATAAAATATTAAAAACCATAAAGAAGTCATCACAAAAAAAACATCAATAAAAATTGTTTTTTAATTATTTTCTTAAATAGTGGTCTCCAACTATTTGAAGCAACTTTTACCCTGTTATCCCTGTTAAGAAGTGCTGGGGATTATTTAAACTCCTGAGATGTTTGCACAAAATTAATTTCAAGTAATTCCCTTATTTTCCTTTCATGATAGTTGTTATTTGTAGACAACATTTTTGTGTGCAGCCAGTTGAATATCTCATGGCATTCTTTGCAATGATCAGTTGCTCCAGAAGTATGCCAATTGCCATTCATGCTATTAGTTTGATATTCTATGGTTCTTTGCAAAATTCTCTTTTTTGTTTCCCCAATATAAATTCCCCCACACAATCACATAAGCTTGTACACCCCAGGGTTTATGTTTGGCATTAACCTAGATTTGTTGTTACAAAGAATTTAAAATTAGGTGGTGTTGTAAAAATAACTTTGACGTTATATGTTGTTAGTAGTTTGCATAGTTTTGGTCCAATTATTGGTAGCCAAGGTAGTTTTATTATTGCAATATTATTTCCCAGTTTTTTTGTACTTACTTGAAAGGTAATTCGTGGCAATTGTTTCTAGATTTGATTTCTTATGACCGTTTTCAACAAACATATCTATTACAAACAGAATCTTGTTGCTAATGTAATTTTCAGAGCAGATTTAGGTGGCTCGTGATATAAAACCTCTAAAAACTCCAGTTGTGGTTTTTTGTTTTGCTGTTTTAAAAAGGAGAATAAACATCGTTTTGCTGTATTGCTGTTATTGTGGTTTTTTGTTTTGTTGTTTTAAAAAAGAGAATAAATATTGTATTGTTGTGTTGTGGTTTTTTGTTTGGTTGTTCTTCTTCTGGACTTTAAAATCATAATGGTAATTGTCTGCATTAGTTAAATATAAAACATTCTAAATATTTATATCTAAAATATTTTCTCTGTTTATTTTCAACCTCTGATGTGTACTGAATATTGGAGCCTTGTTGATTTAATAAAATAAGTCATTTTTTATGCTTTTCAACTGATTCAAATTTGGCAAGGCTATCATCAACATACATTCTATAAGATTTTGGTGAAAAATTGTTGATTTCCACAATATTCAGAGCTCTTGTTTCCAATTTTTGAAAGAATGCCTCTGCAATAACAACCATCAGTCCTATTGTACCTGAGTTAATTATGGTTCTAATTTCATTTTTATACAAAAAATAGCATAAACTAAGACATAGTTCTATTAATTGGTGGATGTCAGTAGGTGTTAATTTGGTTCTTGTTTTAAGATCAGTTACATCATTGTTAAGATAATCAATCATCACAGGTATGGTTTTATCAATTGGTATTAATGTATACAAAGCTATTGCATCATAAAATACTGTTTTATCTGGACTGACACACCAGGATTTTTCTTCATTGACAAATGATGTAAAATTCAACAAGGACGTTTTGTTTTTAATTAGGGTAGGCTGAATAATTTTAACAAGATATTTTGAGGTTCCATACAGAGGAGTACCAATAGTAGAAACTATTGGTCGAATTGGATAATTTTTTTACCAATGGATATAATTGGAAATACGTCTTTTTATCAAATTTGTTTGCTTTTAGTTTAATATTATTGAGTTATTAACTTCTATATCAGGTTTCTGAAAAGTATCAAACTCATTTATAATAACAAATCCAGAATCTTTATCAAGTGGAACACTTCTCAATTATTTTTAAAATTATTTAACGCTAATCTTGTTCTCTTGTTAGGTTGACTGATAGTTCATGTTTTAGTGATTTTGTTAAAATTTTGCTAACATTTTGGCATATATGTATATATATATATATATATATATATATATATATATATATATATATATATATATATATATATATATATATATATATATATATATATATATATATATTATGTATGTATATATATATATATATATATATATATATATATATATATATATATATATATATATATATATATATATAAATTTATATATATATATATATATATATATATATATATATATATATATATATATATATATATATATATATATATATATATATATATATATGGTGAGCTGGTGGAGCAGTGGTGAGCACTTGAGTTATCATTTGGTTTTTACAGAGACTTTTAACATTTTATATTTTTTTTTTATTGCAAATGGTGCTGGACAGATAATTTACTTTTTTTATTGAACAATATTTTTTTATTGAGTTATTTTTTTGGGAAGAATCTTTTTGTCTTTATATTTTGTCTTATATATATATATATATATATATATATATATATATATATATATATATATATATATATATATATATATATATATATATATATATATATATATATATATATATATATATATATATATATATATATATATATATATATGATAATATATATATATATATATATATATATATATATATATATATATATATATATATATAAGACATTAATTATATATATATATATATATATATATATATATATATATATATATATATATATATATATATATATATATATATATATATATATATATATATATATATATTTATACACATATATATACAAGACAAAATATAGAGACGAAAAGATTCTTCCCAAAAATATAACTCAATAAAAAAATATTGTTCAATAAAAAAAGTAAATTATCTGTCCAGCACCCTTTGCAGTAAAAAAAAAATATAAAATGTTAAAAGTGAATTTTGACCATTTTTAGGGGTTGCTCAAGTGCCTCTAAAGTCATATTTTAGACTTTTGAACCCTTTTTTAGCCCATTTTTGGCACATTAGAGCAAATTCTAAAACTCAAAAAAAAAATTTCTTTGAAGAGTTTCTCATGGTAATTTTATTTATGGGAAATATTATATATAAATCTGTCTACAAAATTGCAAATTTATGCAATTTTTCCAATTATTGTGCATTACGGTAACTTTTACACAAAAAATATAAATACCTATGTATAGTTAATTATACCAATATATTCTGATTTACTTTCATTTTTGGGTGGGGTTACATGCTACTTTAAGCTTACATTTTTGTGCTTTCTGAGGGCAAGTACAAGTTTTGTACTCTAGCAGCCTTCTTCACGGAATAAGGTTGGGAATTGTAGCTTTATGGCAAAAGGAAGGATTTTTTTGCACATTAACAAATAATTAGTTTTTTAATAAATAAGTACATATAATAAATTCATTTTTGTTATATACTACCTAAAGCTCTAGCTTTTGATGGGTGAAACAGCCATTCTTATGACATTAATGAAGTGGCAACTTTTATGGCTGCCTTCTAAACTACTGGTTTCTTAAAGCTGAACTAGCCTCTATTGCTCCATATCAGGTAAGTATCAACTTAAAAAATATGATATGCATGTATACAAGGATTCCAGTACAAAGAAAATAATTTTTAAAATTTTTATAAAGCATATTTTTTTCTAAACAATGAATTTAACAATTTTTTCTTTCATCCAGGATATGAAATCTTTTTAGCAAATAAGAAGTAAAATGAGACTTGAGCAGAATCAGGGTTTAAATAAAGTATACGACACACATGGTTTATGGACGCTTATCTTATTGTGCTAGGCTTAGCTGATAAATAAATGTGAAGAAAAAGGTGAAATTACTTAAACACTATTAACAAATATCCATCAGCCTAAATGAGAGCAAACATAGAGGTCCCCAATTTTTTATATTTCAGTGGATCGAAGCCACCAAGCTTAGTTCAATTAGTCACAGAACATTCGTGGTTCTTGTTCCTTATGATAGCCCAAAGTAAATTTGGCTGTCGATAGATGAACTTGCTTCCTTCTGCCTCCAACTACTGCAATTGCAAGAATTTCTACCTATATTTTCAGGATGCTGTTTATCATCTCGCTGTTATTAATCATTGCTATGAAAGAATTGCAGTTAAGGTGCAGTAGAAGTGCGATTGTGTCAAAAGCGTGTTTTAAAGCCAGCTTTAGGCAAGTTTTACTTGCCTAACAGATTTTATTAAATATAAAATCTGTTAAGCTCATAAAGAACAACATTGATGTTGCTAGAAGTGAAGAGAAGTAACAGATTTTGCTTTTATTTTTGAACAACTGCAAGAAAAACAAAAAAACAATGAATAATATAACAAAATATTTTTTTTTGAATAATAATTTAATAAAACGTTTGTTGTATGAATTTGCTTGAAGTTTTATGCAAAATATATGTGGTGCTTCTTTCGAAAAACGTCAAAAATAATGAAAAGTTACCATAATGCACAATAATTGGAAAAAATTGCAAAAAATTTGCAATTTTACAGACAGATTTTTATATAATATTTCCCATAAATTAAATTACCATGCATTTTTGGTTTATCTTCCTAAGTAGAAACTGTTAATAGAAAAAAAAAATATTCTTTTTGAGTTTTAGGCACTTGAGCAACAGCTGCTTAAGCCCTTGGAAATGATCTGGATAGCATTCCAGTTTCTCACAGCACTATCCGCCATTCTAGAATGGATACACGCAAGTCCAAGGCAGTCGAGGACCAAAAATCATATTCAACCCAGGTACCACTTCTGTTGCACTGGGATAGAAAACTCCTACCAGATATTGTCCAGAAAAATTTAAAGGTAGATGGAATTGCAATCCTAATTTCTGGAGCTTAGGGTTCCCAAAATCATAAGAGGAACAGGTGAGGAGCAAGCTAGTGCCTGCCTTGAACTATTGGATAATTGGCATCTCAAAGACAAAATATGTGGGCTTGTGTTCGATACAACAGCCTCAAACACTGGTTTGAAATCTGGAACTTGCACAATTATTGAAAAAACTGTCAAGAAAGACCTTGTGCGGATAGTATGTTGCCACCATGTTTTTGAAGTTGTACTTTCCAGCGTATTTGCATCCACATATCTTGAAGCTACCACTGGACCTGATGTAGGTTTATACAAACAATTTCAAAAAAAATGGCCAACAATTGACCAAGGCAAATATGATGCTGCTGATGAAACGCTCTTCATTGCAATTGCAATTTTGAGCACCTGGAGCCATGTACCACGCCAGGTACATGGTGAAGAGCATCTATTCCATCAAAATCCTTCTTTTCAAGAATTAAGTGAATCTTACTGCTCAAAAAGAAAAGCTTCAACCAAATTCAGCCTGTTTGTTGCTCTAGTCTATGGAAAGGTTTGGCATGAAGATTGCTTGGCAGAAAGAGCCCCATATAATGACTTGAGACTGTTGAGTTTTGAATGATTATACGTGCAACAATGTTGTTAGAGATGCAGCAATGACAGTCTTCAAAAGACACCTATGGTACTTTTCAGAACATTTGTTTGGGTTGGTTTTTTTTGACCACTGCGTTGATGTTTATACAGAAGCCATCATGGTTTAGAATCTTAAACGTGCCAAAAAGAAAACGTCACCAAAGAGAATTGAAGGCAAAATGTTCAAAATTTAAATCCCACTGAAATCATACATTACAAGCCGAACATCTCATCTATTTGACCATCTCATCGACAATGGAGCAGAGAAAGCTCAAGTTTTTCTCTCCATGCCACCTAACCTTTGGCAAATGGATCCAATTTATATTCAGTTCAGGAAAACTGCCAGGCAAATGAAAGTAGTTAATGACTGTGCAGAGAGAGGGGTTGCTTTAATCCAGACCTTAAACTCTTCGATAGCGAAAGATGAAAAGAAAAATGCAAAACCTCTTGCAGGTTTTCAGCACTCATCGGAAAGCCTTTCCAGAGCCATCAAAGCATCTGTTGAAAAAAGTCTCAAAATAAACAATGCAATTGTTACAACATTACAATATGTGAATTAAGTTCAGAATAACTAAAACCTCTCTAAGTCATGATATTTTATTTCGTGTTTGTTTTGCAACAAAAATGAAATAAAATATCTAGCTAAAGAAACTAAGTTTTACATTATTTCTTGATTCTTCCATTGCAACAAAATTTATTGTTCAAAATTGCACCACCCCTAGTTATATTTAAAAAATTTTAAAAATTGGCCAAAATGGTCCATATGTGGAATAGAACAAAATATATATATATATATATATATATATATATATATATATATATATATATATATATATATATATATATATATATATATATATATATATATATATATATATATATATATATATATTATATATATATATATATATATATATATATATATATATATATATATATATATATATATATATATATATATATATATATATATATATATATATATATATATATATAAATCAAACAAATTTTGCCCAAAAGTAATGAAAAGGAGTTTTATTCTGATTAACTTTCAAAAAGTCACCCACAACACAAAATTTGTAAAATGGTATATAAGTACTATTTGCAACCAGAAGCATTATGACTTTCTAGGTGCGTATTCACCTAACTTTTATAACTCTGGCATAATTCAACTAAGGATACAGAAATATTCAGAAAAACATAAAAAACAAAAAAAAAGGATGCTGAAGATGCCAGAAAAAACCAAGAAGTGGTCGTTTCAACTCTACTATCAGAACATTCTTCCAGCTCTTCTGCTTCTGAAACTGAGCTTGTATCTGATGATGAATTTTTCAGTGTTTCCACAAGACTACCTCACTCCGCTCCGAAAAGGACAAGGAATAACATTCTGACTCCAGACTTAAACCTCACACATGACCGTGTTAACATTAGTGATCAGCAAGCTACTTATGTTGTTGCTGCAGTTGCTTAAGTCCTTGGAAATTATCTGGATAGCATTCCAGTTTCTCACAGCACTATTTTTCAAAACATTTGTTTTTGTAACTATTTGGTATTCACCAATGTTTTGCAGAATTTCCGTAAAGTTAGGGTTGTGCACGAGTTATGCAAAAACTTACGCAAAAAAAAACCAAATGAATTGATTTTTTTTTAATGAACCAAGTTTATGTAACTTTATAAAAAAACTTATCTAATATTGAATTTATATAATATCTAACAAATTTAAATTAGGGATTATCATTAATAAATACTTTTTACAACTTAATAAAATGCAAAGTTTTTATTGTGCTTTTTGTTGGCAGAGTCCATTCACCGCCTCTTTTTTTGCAAAACATCAATTTTATCATTGTCCTCAAAGTTAATGTTATCTGGAATTTCTAATCTTAAACAATTGCAAAGATTTTACAGTAAAATGTGCGTAAAATATATTTTACAGTTAGGTTGAGCATATGTTAGGAGTACTGAAGTGCTTCACCTCTCTTGTGACCTCCAATGGTTTTTGAGATGACCAAAGGATTGCTTAACATCACTATCTACCTGAAGGTGAACTTTAAATATATTTTCTCTGGTGAAGTAAGCTGGTTAAATGATATAATCCTGACTAATAAAAACCTGTCTTATAACAATCAAGTCTTAAACAAAACTGTTTTGTTAATCTCAAGATTGTAACAAGATTATCTCTCTTTTGTAACAACATGGAAATTGAGGTAGCAGATAAATTTTAATCCTAACAATACTTAGTTGTTTAAATAAATAAAAAAGGGTGAAAAAAAAAATTTTAAAAACATCAACACGTTGTTGACATTTCTACATAGATGAAAGTCAAGAATCTGTCAATTCATCTCAGATTATCTTTTACTATTGTCCTCTCATGAAATTTATACATCAAACTTATTGGAAAGTTTTTGCTGCGGTTCTTGCTGCGGTCTCTTTATTTGCTGCGGTCTCTTTATTTGCTGCGGTTGCTTTATTTGCTGCGGTCTCTTTATTTGCTGCGGTTTTTGCTGCGGTCTCTTTATTTGCTGCGGTTTTTGCTGCGGTCTCTTTATTTGCTGCGGTTGCTTTATAGTGCTTTTCCTATATATGATTCAATTTTTACTACTATAAATTTCTAATCTTTTTTTGCATGGAGTACTGTTGTTATATATGGGTTGGTCCTTGTAAGGAGGCTCTTTCTCTTTTATACAAGGTTCAAAACTGCATTGCAAATGTTGTTGAACTTCCTCTAGCTTATGACCCTTTCCATAAGGTTGCATTCCAAATAAAGGTCAACCAAAACTTTATTTTACGTGACTTATCATTAAGTAAAGTTGCATCTTTCATTAAGTAAAATTGCTTTTACTGTAACTGTACCTTTAATGCTCAAAAAACTTATATATATTTTTTTTTCCTCAAAATTTAGTGCTTTAAAATTATTTCTTATCTTCATGCTTTTCTGATTCATACAATTTATAAATGTTCTCATATAATTTATAGATGTTCAGGTTTTCTGTTAATTGTCAGTTTCTCAGCTATATTTTTTTAGAATTCCCAGAATTTGAGAATTTTTTAATTTAAATTTTTTATTAGTTCCCAAGTAAAATAGTGGTATCTCGCAGTCTTTATAAGAGTGAATTTAATTAAAATTTTTGTGTTGGTCTACAGGTTATATGATTTTCTAAATAAGGCAGAAACATAAAATACGTAAAAAAAAGTAATCCAAAATATAAAAATATATATATTTTTAAAAGTAAACCTTCACAGTATCTCTGGTTATTAACCAACTGCCAGCCATTTTGACATGAACAAGAATAGTTACCAATCAAGTTAATGCATTTACTATGGTCCCAATTGCAATCGTTAATACCATTATAACATTCATTAATGTCTAAAATAAAAATTTACTTTTACAATAATCTTTAAACTTAATTAAAACAGATTTGTTATGTAATTATTTTTAACTTGTTTTATGTACATTCAAAAAAGTAATTGTCTTATTTAAACAAAATATTCAACACTTATTTCAACACTTTTATAGAATGAGACTGCATACACTTTTTTCTAAAAACAAGACATAATTTTTCAGCTCAGATTTTTTAAGTAAGACTGCAAATATATATATTTTTTAAACTAAACCATAAATGTTTTTTTTTTTTACTTTTAAATAAACCATTGATTTTTTTTTTAAACAAGACCACAGACAATTTGTTTATACTTAAATTCACCATTTATTTATTTAAAAACCAAGACAGATATTAAAAAAAAAATCAAACAAACCATGATTTTTGTTTAGGATTTTAAATTTTAAAAATATTTACATAATTCAGTTTTTTAATTTAAATTAATATGTTAGCATATTCTTTTTGCTGTGTTTTTATTATTTTTAAAAATAATAATTTTTTAATATGTCTTTATTATTATAGTCTTTACCCGGGAGAATACCAATAATTTACCAATTCTAAAAAATTATTTTTTGTCTTTCTCTTGTGAGGCAATAATACATAATATAATAACTGGGAAATTAGTTAAAAAAAAACTTCCTCGGTTAAATGAATATAAATCTCCAAGGTCAGACATGGTAAAATCAATAGTACTAAAATGATGCTCATCTGCCTTTGCTTTACTGCTCGTTGTAATTTTTGAAAAATTGCTTAAAACTGGAAGTGCACCAATTAAATGGAAATTGGCATTCATAATCCCAATATTCAAAAAAAAAAAAAACAAGCTAACTGCTAGTAACTACAGACCAGTGTTAACCTCAATAGTTTCTAAAGTACTCAACTACAGACCAGTGTTAACCTCAATAGTTTCTAAAGTACTCAACTACAGACCAGTGTTAACCTCAATAGTTTCTAAAGTACTCAACTACAGACCAGTGTTAACCTCAATAGTTTCTAAAGTACTCAACTACAGACCAGTGTTAACCTCAATAGTTTCTAAAGTACTCAACTACAGACCAGTGTTAACCTCAATAGTTTCTAAAGTACTCAACTACAGACCAGTGTTAACCTCAATAGTTTCTAAAGTACTCAAAAGTATTATATCCAACACAATATATAAACATATGAGAGAAACTAGAGTGGTTTCTCTAAATCTTTATAGTGGTTTTGAATAAACAAATTAAAAATAAAATTAAAATCTATTTTTATAAAACAATTTATAAATGGAATGAAACAACAATTACCTGAACACATAAGATTTCCATTATAATAACTAAAGCCATTTTGACAAGTACAAAGTGAGTAATTAGAATTCTCTGAAATACAAATTTCGTTGTCATGGAGCTGGGATTCAGGAAAACCTGATAAAAAAAACATTATACTTTAACCTTTTATATTCAACTTATATTATTTATTAAAAGTAATAAAATATATTTATTATATTATTATGAATATTGTAAAAAGTATAAATATTATTAGACATTAAAGTGACAAAAAAAAAATCATGATTTTATAATTTGACAATAATATCTTTTAATTTTTTAAACTTAACTATTTTATTATTTTATTCTAATAATTCCAATAACAAAGACAACTTTATACATAACTGTTGTTTTATTAGTAAAATCTAGTAGAAAGTCAGGTTGGAAGTTTATTACATTTTCGTTACATGTGTGGTGTCTAAATTATCATTATTAATTTTTATTACATGATTTACTCTAGTGTCTTTGTTTTTTTCTGAACATCTGTTCATTATGTATTTTAATTTTATTTTAATATTTCTCTATTCCTAATTTTTTCCTTATTTTATTTGGCTTTACAGCTTGGTCTAGTTCTTTGATGCATAATTTTGCATTTTTTTTAAAAAAAATTTTACCCTCCATATGTAAATGCTGCACAAGGAACTTGACCAATAACTGTAGAAAGATTTTTACTTGTATGTTGAACTGTACTGGGGTTTGGATGTGGTATTCCTTAACCAATTGGTTACCAACAGTGCTGATACACTTTAATAAGCACTAAGACAGTAAATAACTTTTTGTTGCTGCTTACATTAGCTTATCCTTGATTTGTTTCAATTCTTTTCAAACTTGACATCTGTTACTGCAGTTCTAGATTTTTGTGTAAACTTTAAAGGTCTTAAGGTTTTATTGGAATAACAAAAATGGATAAAATATAATTTCCAATAATTTTAATAAAACTTTGAACATTATGTATAATGTGAACAGTATGTTATCATGTTTTTCAAAATATTGATAAGATATAATGATTTAAGTTATAAAAAATACATGTAAAAATATAAAACTATTTACTTATTCGTATCGGACTTAGTTGACTGCTGGTTAATAAAGTTGGAGTAATACTTATCCCATTGAGCTTTAATCCAATAGCAATATGCCCATCAAAATTATGTCCAATCATAACAGCCTCGATATAATATCTTTTGTTAATCCATAGCAAGATTTTGTCTGAAACTTGATTAGGATACCTTTTAAAAAATAAAAAGTGATCTTATTATTGTTGCAAGTTTTTTTGTACCAAATAGAGATACAAAGCCTCTTGTACGTTTTTTTAGAGTGATCAATTTAATGTAAATTAATTATTTACAAAATAGATCATCAATTATATATACAAAATTTAGCTAAATGAAAAAATACAACTTTATGATGGAACTTAAAGTTTCATGCCCTTTCAGCAATCATCAGCCATATATCCTAATATATGTATACATATATTAGGGTGGTTCTAAAAATAACTTTTTTGAAAATGTCGGCATGCACCCACTAAATATGTTCTATAAAATAAAATAATACTGCATTTAAAAAACTTTTGAGCAATAAATATTTTTAGGGGATGCTAAGGACTCTCAAATATTAAACAAGACCCTAATACTATCATAAAAAAAAGTTTTTTAAAAATTTTAGGGCTTAAATGATGCAAAATTAAATTCAAAAATATTAATTTTATTTATATATTTTATATGTATTTTAGTAAACAAAAATTGAAATTTTTAAACTAAAAACAAAAGAAAGGAATTCAACAAGATTTTGTGAAAAAAAATTTTTATGTTTTTTATAAATGATGATTATTTTTAAAATTTTTATATAACGTGCCTGCAAACATTTTCAAAAACAGTTTTTCTTAGAACAACCTTAATATATATATATATATATATATATATATATATATATATATATATATATATATATATATATATATATATATATATATATATATATATATATATATATATATATATATATATATATATATATATACATATATATATATATATATATATATATATATATATATATATATATATATATAAATATATATATATATATATATATATATATATATATATATATATATATATATATGTATGTATATATATATATATATATATATATATATATATATATATATTTATATATATATATATATATATATATATATATATATATATATATATATATATATATATATATATATATAGATATATATATATATATATATATAGATATATATATATATATATATATAGATATATAGATACATATATATATGTATATATATATATATATATATATATATATATATATATATATATATATATATATATATATATATATATATATATATATATATATATATATATATATATATATATATATATATATATATATATATATATATATATATATATATATATATATATTAGGGTGGGTCAAATTATTTTATCTTTCCTGTACATGAACAAAAAGTTGTCTTGGCATCAGTACAGTATGAAAATAACATTTAAAGATTTTTTATGAAACATTTAGAGGCCCCAACTTTTGATTAAAGTCTTACCTTCTTTGATGTATTTTAACCATTTCCTTGGTACAATCTAAATACGTACTAACTATAAATCATTGACTAAAATGCATTGGCAAATGGTTTAGCACCTAACTACAAGTGCTAAAAAAGAAATGGAATAAATTTTATAATGTTATTTACATGTGACGTCACCAACATTAGCAACAAACCATGTGCTGGATTTTTTAGAAACAAGCAAAATATCTAATATATTATTTTGTAATTTTATTTTCTTCTTTGCAATAATAGATCTATAGTAAAATTCAAGTAGGCTAATATAGATGTATACTACAGTAGGCTATAGTTTAGACTGTAGAAAGATCACTTCATTTAACATGTAGGCCTATTTATGAGAGGGCTAAAGATATTATAGTCTGTGTAAATATTGGAATATTTATTGACTAAATTCTTATGAAAAATTGTTTTAATAGCTTTTATTTATTGTAAACATAACTTGTTGTAGTTTTTTTTATTATTTTAGGCAAATTATATTAAATATGGATAGTATGTGTACACGAAGTGCAACTAAACATCTATTGTTTGGGCAGTTAGTTGACTTTCCTTAAAATCAAATCCCATCATATGAAGACGTTATTAAGGCGTTCTATTATAATCAGAAAACAGTATTAGAAATTAGCTTGCAAGAAAGATATTCAATTTTAGCAGACAGAGTGAAATGTGTTTATTCAAAAGCAAGTATTCCCACAATAGAAGTGAATAGCACAATCATTAGGATTAGAAGACTTATGGATAAAGTACACACACTTGAAAAATATTCCGATGCAAAAAGAACATCAGACATGTTCACTTAGAAGTTGAATTCTTTTAAGCAGTTATTTGAAATTTGTACCTGCAAATTCTTTGAATTAAGCATTAATTACTTATGCACGTGCCCACTGCCAAATAAAACTCCATTAATAGAGTGGGATTTCTGGGTTGACCAGAAAACTGTTAGAAATATGATAATCGGTGGAGTAGACAAAGAAACGACAGCAACACTGGAAAAGAGACAAAAACGCAAATTTATGAAATCAGTGTGTGATGAAGCACAGTCAAAAGAGGTTGAATATGAAACTGAGGAAGATATTGATGAGGATGAGCGTAACACGTCTGAAAGTAATTATACATCAGAGGAAGAGACAGTATCAGTGCAGAACAGAAACAAGTACAAGGAATTATGTAAAGCAGTTGATCGATGCAAAATTAGCAACAGAGATTTATGTCTTATTGTTAATGCTGTTTTAAAAGACCTCAGTATGTTGTCTTCAGCAACAATTCTTAATCCTAGTTTATTTCGGTATAAGTGAAAGTTTATTCCGGTATAAGTGAAACCACATTTAAATGAAGATATGCCAATCTTAGATCTTTCAATGTACCCAAATATAAAAATGACACTGAACTTTCCAAAGAAATATGGGAACTAAAATCAAAACATATAAATCCTGTGATTACATGGAAGATAATAGCACAATGTAAGCCCTACAATCAAGCATCAAAAGTTTGTAATCTTTGTCTCCACGAGAAGTTTCACATTTTATCATATAAAGGAGAAAACTTAATAAAAGATATGAAATAATATCAAAGTGGCAGCATTCAAAAAAATTTTTACTATCCTTATTCGATACCGGGGACTAAAACCTTTGACATCTTTTTGCTTTGTTTTGTTTTTTGTTTTTTTTGTAACGTCAGAACTCCTTCCACTGTAATTTTAATTTGTATTTTTTAAACGGTTTTTAAGTGATGAAATACACAATGACTGATGATTGCCGAAAGGCATAAAACTCAGAGTTCCATCAAAAGTTGTTTTTATTCATTTAATATAAATAAATATTGCTCTATTATTTAATAGTATTGAGCACTCTTAAACGCACAAGAGTATTTGTATTATTATTATTATACCATAATAATACATTATCTATTTTGTATTTATATATATATATATATATATATATATATATATATATATATATATATATATATATATATATATATATACATATATATATATATACATATATATATATATATATATATATATATATATATATATATATGTATATATATATATATATATATATATATATATATATATATATATATATATATATATATATATATATATATATACATATATATATACATATATATATATGTATATATATATATATATAAATATATATAGGGTTCTGAAAAATTTGTATGCGCAGATAATCGCTGATAAATTGTTTGCATGAAGTCGCATAATATACAACTTGCATTGCCTGCCAAAAGACAGTTCAATGGGCAAAAAATCGCACGGCAGTACATAAACAAACATCATGTCTAAACGCTAGTGAAGATGAGAAACGATTGTTTGCAAAACGAAAAGCCGAATCATTAATCAACTTCAGCAACGACATTATCTCAGCTGAAACTTACAAAGTAGTCGACAATGTGATGAATCCTGAAGAATTAAAAAAAGAAATGGATATGAAAATAGCAAACTTCTTTTTCTGAACTTGAATATATCTTTGCCTTTGTTGAATCTGAAGCTTTTAAGATCAAATCACTTAATCCATTGTATGCATCATCAATACCATGCACGAAAACGCTGTCAGGTTTGCTTCTTGATAAAAAGTATGCAGAATGCTGCACTAAATTGGAAGAAATTCTCGAATCATCTGAAAATTTAACGCTGGTCAGTGATGGTAGAACAAATATTGGTGGCGATCATATAGTGAATTTTTGTATCAAGAAACCAAATACAAAACTGTTTTTCTATACTTCAATCAACACATTTGGCATAATTCAAAACGCTGCAGCTGTTGCTGGTGCTATTATCAAAGTAATTGAGACTCTTGGTCTTCAAAATTATGGAAACTACAAAAAACATTAAATTATAGCGCTATTCCACTTTATTAAGTAATGTGGTTTTTTTATTTATGAACTTAAACTTATGTTTTTAATTATGTAAAATATGAATCTTATTTAAAAACTTTAAAAAACTATAATAATATTTTTAACTTGAAATTTTCTTCTACCAATCACTATGAAAAATAAAGAAATTACTCAAAAATTGTTTCATGCTTTGGAAAACAATTTAATCAAATCAGTTACCAACCCTGATGCTTATAAAGTTACAGGGATCTCTAACATAGACTTCAAATTATTTTCTAAACAGTTTAACAAAAAATGGAATAAAGTAAACAGACACAAGGATAGATTTGAGTTGCATTACAAAATCTGGTTAGGAAAAGAACTGTTTCAAAACAGATAAACTAGACAAGGACCTAAACTTGGACTTGGCTTTTCCTACTTCTTCTCACAATTTAGGTATAATATTTTATAAAAATTAAAGTAATAGACTTATGACGTTTTTCACTGTTTAATTGTGTTTCAGCAAATGTTTATCGCAAATACAATCATCTGATATTTTAATATAAATTAGTTGTTTACGGAAAACCACCAGGTGCAAATTCCATACCATTCATCATCATCGAAGCTTCTGAAAAAATAAAAAAGAGGAGAGCAGAAAAAACAAATATTGTTTTCAAAAGAGAGGAACTATTTTACTTATTTTGAAACTAAAAGACGAAAAAAGGTTCAGCAATGCTAAGGTACAATAATAACCTAATACTATAGTCATTT